GGGGGGAAAGAGCGGGGGCCGCCGCTACCAAACAGCGGGCTCCCAGGCGCCGCGCGTCGCGTCTGGCCTCGCAACCGCGGGAAGGGACGGGGCGGGGCGGGGCAGGGGTCGCTCGTAGACCAGGTGCGTGCAGCGACCCTCCCCACTCCCTCACCTGCCCTGCCGCCCCCGCACCACACGCGTTACGCCACCCCCCTCGCGCGCCATCATGCGGCCCCCCTCATTCATATACACATCCTGATGACTCTTGCTGCCACCAACCCTGCCGTCCACCTTCACCCTCCAACATCCGCACGTGCGCTGTGCAAAAAATCTTTTAATCACTCGACAGCCTGAGTCGTACATGTTGGGGTTGTATGAGTGGGAAGCTGCATCTCTCCGTCCAGACTCACGATTTTGCCTCTCCTTGCGCCCCGCAACCCTCCAGGCTCCCGCTCCCGCCTGCTGCGGCCCGAGGTTCAGGCCAGCGCCGAGGCCTTCCTGCGCGCCATGGTGGCCGCCGGCGGCGCTGCCGGCACCGAGGCGCGGCGCGCGCACGTGGGGGCGGCGAGCATCAAGCTAGTGCACGCGTTCATGGAGCGGTGGGGGCGCGCAGTGTGCATCACCGGTGAGGGGGTGGGTGTGGTGTGAGGGGGGCGGCTGCGAGTTGTCCTTTTTTGGGTCTGGTCTGGTCTGGTCTGGTCTGGTCTGGTCTGGTCTGGTCTGGTCTGGTCTGGTCTGATCTGGTCATTGTTGGATGGACAATCAAGGAGATTGTCCATCTGAGCATGGACAATCTCCTTGATTATCCATGCTAGGCATGTCTCTGGACGGCTTTATTCGAACGAAGGGCAGGGGCGCATCTTTGAGGACGGCTTCATGTTCAAAGGGCGCGCGGGGTTGCCAGCTCACGGCCTTCTGGTTGTGTGTTTCTGACAGGGTCGTCAGGGGCAAGGGGGTGGGAAGACAAAGGGTCCGGAATCGGCATGCGCCTCCGGCGCCCGACCGCCGAGTCCGCATGGTGCGCAGCACTCCGTTGAACCTGCCCGGCACCGCGCGGCCCGGCGGCTCAAGTGCGAGTTAGCGCTGTCCAGCGGTTGCCTGATGCTTCTTTCGAGCCGCGGGCGGCAGGCCCGCCGGCCGCGCTTGCGAGACGGCGTCGGCGCCCACGGCTACGACCCCGTTCCGCCCTGCGGGCCGCGCCGAGACATGCACGCTAGTGCGGTGCTGTCCGTCCCACTCTTTGCCAGCCTCCGCCCCTTGACCGGCTGCCCGCCTGCAGACTGATTTTCTTGAACGCTCCGACCTGTCCTCTTTCCCATCTCCATACCGCCTTGCCCCTCGCCCTCCCTAAAACACATCCGCCTCCCACCCACCACCCCCACAGGGGCGGAGCTGCTGCCATACCTCGCCCCTCCCTCCCCCTCGGCAGCCCAGGGCGCCGCGGCGGCGGCGCCGCCGGGATCGCGGGGGCGCGTCACGGGGCGCGACTACGCGCTGAGGGTGCTGGCGCTGGCGCTGGGGGCGGGGCAGCTGGGGGACATCGCGCGGGCTGGACACCTTGGTGAGAGCTTTGTGGTGAAGGGCCGTTTTATAAACATATAATCGGTAGTTGATGATTGATTTCTGAAACAGGCGGGCCAGGGAATGCGGGGGGTTGCGGGGTTGCCAAGGGGCGATGTGGGTGGTGGGTGCGTCGGCTGGCAGGGTCCCCATCTAGTAGGGAGGAGTGGGCAGAAATCCCGACTCCTCAGCCCCAGGTCGTGGGTGGTGCCGTGCCCATGTTTTCAGCCGTGGTGCGTTGGGTTTGGCGGTCGAGGGGGGGTTCTGGTTGCACGCGCGTGGCGCGCCCGCTAGCGAGGGGAGCCCTGGGTCGCGAGTACGCGAGGCGCAATTCTGCGCTTCGCCAGGCGCAGCTGGTCGCTCGCGCCCGCTCATTCTCCACCGCACGGATGACGCGTGATGCGTGACGCGACGAAATGACGTCAGCACCTCCACACGAAAGCGTGTGAGGGCTCCTGGGCGGCCGCTCAAAGGCGGCTGCTCGCTGTCGCGCAGGGCCGAGGGGGGGCGGGGTGAAGCATGCGCTGACGGCCTCACCCGTCCCTCCCCCCGGGCCGGGCCTCCTGCGGCCGCCGCGCGCAGTGTCGCGCCTGCAGCACCTCCATCCCCCCACCTCCACCTGTTTTAGAGGTGCAGTCGGGTCTGGCCCTTGGCAAAGCGCGGCCGTTTTGCCCCCCCCCCCCCCACGCTCGCTTGGCGCAAGCCTCAAGGGCGCGGCCATGGGCTCGATGGTCTGGCCAATTCTGCTGCAAAGCGGGCGGGGAGGGGGGAGAGGACTGGTCGCCCGCGGGCCCCCGCCCGCCAGGATGCCACCGCGAGCCGCACGTTGCTGGCAGGTGGGGTCGCAGCACAGGCAACGCGGTGGCTAGGGGCGAGTGCGCCGTTTTTTGGGGCTTTTTGGGGATTCATCTGGAACACGCGTTCACGCACCGCAGTTGACATGTTGGGGCTGCGTGTGTGTTTTGAGGGTTTTTACATTGGTGCGAAGCTCACAAGCTCAATTGTAGAAGGGGGGATGGAACGGGTGTTGTCGGCTGCGTGCGCGTTGTGCGGCCGAGCGGGAGCAAGCGCAGGTCCATCGACGCTAGATCGCTCGGTGTTACCCTCCGGGGCGCCGCTTGGAGATGTTGGGATTTTTGAGAGGGGGGCCGGCCTGCGTGGTGGAAGTATTCTTTCGACCCTTTGACCTCCCGGGTGGCCCCCGCCAACCTGGATTGTGATCGCATGGGGGGGGGGTTCAATGCAGGGATGGCTGATGGGGAAAGCAAAGGAGGAATGATACAGCGTCCCGAGGTCTCCCGCTTCTGGACCCATCCAGGCTCATTTGATGGAATGTCCAATCACCAACTGATGGAGTCGAGAGAACCCTACCCTCACCTTCGGCCCCCTGGTGGGTGCGCCGCGGCTGCCCACCCCAGAGTGTCCCTCCACCGTCCGGGGTCGACACACTGGGGGAGCCACCGCCCGCTTGGCGGTCTCCCTGAGATCGCGCCAGATCAGGGCCGTCCCCGGGACCACTCCGACCCCAGGGGCATAAGGCGGTGAGGAGAGAAAAGGGGTTTCAGGGTTTAGGGGCTGGGGTCGAGGTTTAGGCCGGTTCGGCCGCCTCGCACGTGCCACGCGGGGGCTCCGTCCTGCCGCGCCGAGCGGCGCGCCGCTCATCTGCGACGTGCTCACCAGCCGCCCTGTCAAGTTTCACCTTTTGGGGGGCCGTCACCCCTACAGTCTCCGTGCCATCGCCGGTGGATTGCACAGGCAAGCACGACGGGGAGGGGCGTGCGCGTGGCTCAGCCGCGCGCCGAGAGGGCGGGAACGGCGACCTGGCGGACCGCCCCGTGGTGCTTGGGCTGCCGCCTGGGCGGTAAGATTGCACCGAGCAGGCGTCCAACCTCCCTGGCGGCCCGCCACGCACGACAAAGCGGCCGTGCGCAAGGCCCCTCCGGCCCGCGCGTCGGGCGCTCTCGATGCAGGTCACAAGCAAGGGGCCTTATTCCCAGCGCAATTAACGTGAGCCCGCCCGTGTGGGACACGAGCCCACGCACCTCGGTCTGACCTATCGGAACCGCGCAGGTGTTCAGGGTTTGCTTCACTTTTTGTGAAGCTCACGAACTCGTTTGTAGAGGGGAGGAATGGAAGGGGTATCTTGGCTGCGTGCGCGTGGTGCGGCTGCGCGGGAGTGAGCGATTTTTGGACGTTGAGCGCGTGGTGGTGTCGGCTGACGCGCCGCTTGGGGGTGGCAGGAGTGGTGAGGGTAGAGGGGGACGTTCTGGGTGGTCACATGTTTCTCATGCTCGTTGACCTGCCGTGCGCCCCCTTTCCCCGAAATCCTTGATTGTGGTTGCAGGGACACAACTTTGTTTGTTGGTTATCTGGTGTGCTTGTTTGATTGGGTATGGGGGGGGGATGGCGCAGGGATGGTTTATGGAATGGTGAGAACACCACGCTTCTCCTCACCCCCTCCGCGCGTGCGCCGCGGCTGCGCACCCAGAGCGCCCACGAGGGTTTTGGCGTCGGCACGATGGGGGGAGCTGCCGCCTGCTTGGCTTCCTCTCCGAGATCACGCCAGAGCAGGGCCACCCCTGGGGCCCCGAGCTGCCACGCGGCAAGGAGAGGAAGGGGTCGGCACTCCATGGCAATTGCGCGTAGTTTCTGCGGGCAAGCGAGGAGGGCAGGGGTGGACGCACGCGCGCGGCTCAGCTGCGAGCCAGGAGAGCGCAGGGTGCGGGTGGGATGTTGCACGAACGGCGCTCCAGCGCACCGCTCAGCGGTGCTCGGGCCGCCTGGGCGGTGCAAAGTCTGCCAGGATCCGATCACCACCTCCCAGGCGGCCCGCCAGGCACACGCAAAGCGGCCGTACACAAGAGCCGTCCGGCCCGAGCATGGCACGTCCTCGAGGCAGGCCAACAGGCAGGGGTCGTTTGTACGCGATTTGAACTAGGATTAGGATTAGGA